TTATCAAGTAAAGTTGTGCTAAATCACAAGAGTACATTATACACGCTAATGAAGATGTAGCTATCAAACTATACTATTGAGAATTCAAGCTCTAGCCACACAATTTACAGGATGCCATAGGTGGTAGTGGTTGGAACAAAAAAATCAGCCAAATATACAATTACATTTGTTGTTAAAAATCTACATGTAAAGATGTATGAATTATGTACAAGTCTCTTATAAAACCATGCAAAACATTATCCACTTCCACATCATTTCCTATTCAAAAGTGCTTCCATGAACTACATTATGCAGAAAGCTTCTAAAGCCTGTACAATAGTATTACTTTTATTTAAGGGCAATTTATTTTAACATACATAATTAATGTGGATTCCTTTTTTCAAGCTATCAGTTGTGTCAATGGTGACTGTAGCGATGGGCATTTGATGTCAGTCATGGCCATTTATTGCCAGTAATGACCATGCCAGTTGTGCCATTGATCTTTGTTCATTTAACATGGGAGGAGGAGGGGGTGGACTACCGTTTAAGAAATGATCAGGAGACATACTTGGTTGCAAGTAACGATCAAAATTGGAAGGGGTGATAAAGAAACATCTGAACCAAACTGGACTGCAACACATGAGGCTACAGGAGACCTTCACTCAGTCTGAGGAGAAGCACTTGCCTTTATGTGATTACATGTGCCGCACGTGGGAAGGTGTAGCTGTGGAAGGATGTAGTGTATTTTCCCATTCAGGATGGAGCAACTGCTCTGTTAGATAACACCATTGTCACAATGGGTGTGAGAGGCAACGGAAAAGACAGATAGCTCACGTTAGCACACTTGTGCTGAGTACTTAAGTTAAACGACAGCAACAACAACAAATTATACTTGTATAATGCCCTTCATGTCGGAGAGATGTCCCAGGGCACTGGACAATCAGGGTTTTTTGGACCTGAGCTGGGAGTTAGGGTCAGGAGGTGTGGAGGGCAGAGTGGGTGGGAGGGTGGCTGAAGGCATGGTCGAAGAGGAAGGTCTTAGACGGGTCTTGAAAGAGGCAAGACAGGTGGTGAGGTGGAGGGATTGTGGGATAGAGTTCCAGAGTGTGGGGCCAGAGATGCCGAATGCCAGACCGCCAATGGTGGGGTGGAAAGTGTGGGGAACCTGAAGCAGGCTGGTGTCTGCTGAGTGGAGGGAGTGGGAATGATAGTAGTAGGTTCAATCTTCTCTCTGCTGAGTTCCCCATCTGAGCTGTACTCTGCCAGGAGGTTGCTGAGGGGAGATCGTAACCTCTCCCTGCGGAGAGTGGGGAAAGTGACCATTGGAAGGGCAAATCAGACCTCGTCAGTGCCTAGTGCCGGTGGCTGTCAGCACCAGGGATGGGAAGGGTCGGGCAGACGTATCACAGGATAACTCACAATGAAAAAGAATTGCATAAAAATAAAATGAACATCTTGACAACCCCAATTTGTAATTTTAAACCAAAGTAATCACTTGTTAATGCACGATGAACTGAATATTGTGCACAAACTGAAATCTAAAGAATGTTTTGCTGTGCTCCTCGTAAACTGAGATCAGCTCAAGCAGTTTAAAATGTCTTCAGTCTCCTCATGCCCCCTAACGGATACTCAACTCTATTTCACACATGGGTGATACTTAGATTGTGGCAACGACATTTATCCACGCACCCGATACCCAGCGACAATGGCACGACTGGCATTTGTTACTTGGTTTCAACAGCGTTGATCAGGTTTGGCCTCAATTACCTTCAGCCCATCTGAACTCAAATGAATGCATCAGCTTGTTGAAGTCAACATTACCACCAATTCAGTGATGCTTTATTTAGCGGAGCCAACGGCCTGTAGTTGAGACCCCAAAGGCTCATCACCACCACATGATTTACTTGCCACTTCCAGGTCTCCTCACTACCCCTGGTAAAATCACCACTACAACTTCCCTCACCCATCTCCCTTGAGATGATACTATGACATTCTGCTGTGCAATATTATGAACCATTGATGGGATCGATGGAACCTTGGGAAACAGAAATATAAAAGGATATTGCAAAAAGACAAAGTATGATTAAGGGGAGAGAAGTGACAGTAACAGGGCTATGGAATTGTCTGTGGCGGAACAGCTTTGTTGACCTGAATGGCTTTTTCCCATTGTGACTAAGTTCCTAAAGTATGTGGGACAGGTTTCTCTAATGGCTTGGTCGGTAAAGGCACCATAAGTCATACAAAGAAGAATTTGCAGGTTCAATCTCAGTCTGTTTGACTTTACCTCAGACAGGGCAGCAGTTGGTTGCTCCCTGGGCTAAGGAAGGGAAATATTATTTTGGGTTCCCTCTCGCATCACTATCCAGTGACCCCTGCTGGAAAACATGTGAGCATGGCTGTTTGGTGAGGACAGCATAGAAATACCCTGATACAAGACAACATAAGTTCACAAAGGGAATTAGAGTAAATTAGGTCCTTTAGTATACTTGATCTCATCTTTCCAGAACACCAATACTTTTCCAATACAGCATCAAGCTGTTTGTTAAACGAATCTGTGGTCCTGGTCTCAACCATATTTCCTGGTAACCTGTCCCAGCTATTAAACGTCTTCTGTGCAAATAAATACTGGTGTCTGTCCTAAAAATTGCCCTCCCAACACTGATCATGTGCCCTCTTGTCCTGCTGCCTCAGTGTATCTGAAGGTATTGTTCGATGAGGAACGTTTGATAAATGTACAGAGGTCTCCCAACGTGAAATGCTGTAGCCCTTTAAGGTTGTGTAAATTTGATTAAAAATAATTCCAAAACATTTATAGAGACAGCTCAGTCAGGTGTCTCAAAAGGTAATACAACAACATTGTTCTACACATTGCCAAGCTGTAGTTTGGTTCCTGATAAACAGTGGGCATTGTCAACGAAGTAGAAAACTCAGTTTGCTGCACAAGCTAAGGGTGTGGAAAGCCTGGTTTTAACAAAGAACTATTTCTGAATGGAAGTTTAATTTCTCTCAATTGGAGATAGGAGGACACAAATTGCAGGTTCAATCTCAGTTTGTTTCCACTGGCAGGTGGGTCGGTAACCATAGAACACAGATTTAAAATAATTGGGAAAAGGACCAGAGAGGGGAAAAAAAAAATTTTACCCAGAAATTTGTTACAATGGATTGCCTGAAAGGGTGGTTGAAGCAGATTCAATAGTAGCTTTCAAAAGGGAATTGGATAGGTACTTGAAAAGGAAAAAAAAATCAGGGCTCTGGGGTAAGAACAGGGGAGTGGGACTGATTGGGTAGCTCTTCCAAACAGCCGGCACAGGCACGATGGGCTGAATGGCCTCCTTCTGTGCTGTAATATTCTATGATTCTATGACAAATGGGGATTTGAATCTGAAAGAGAAATATAGGGTAACGTTTTTTTTGAGATGACAGCTCTGATCATGGGTCACCTCCCAAAAGGTACCTCTCTTTCAGATGCTGCGGGGCATTTCCTTGTTCAATTTGTGTTTTGTTGCAGGTTTCTGGCAATGACGTTTTTTTTTGTCAACTCTGATGATGAGTCCCAGTGCACTGGTACACAAGGCTGCTTTTGCTCTCTGGACAACCATGTTCTGTGCACATCGTGATCGCCGGATTGATGTTCCACACTAATTGATGAATGGTGGCTTATGAGGAATGCGTAACATCTCACTCTTTAATTTGTCTTAAAATGTTAATCACTGAACAATGTCGCCCCATTTAAAAATAAATAAGAGAAAGGAAGGTGAAATTCTGGGGTTTGTACCAGATAAATAAAGATCTCTATAAGCTATGGTCAGTAATGTCTTTTTAAGTCTGTGTCCATTTACTGTGAATATGTCAGGACGATGAAAGAAATCAAGCTTTACTTGCATTATAGCTTCCTAAGGGTTGAGTAAAGTATACAACATAAGATCATATATGACTGGGAGTCTCAGGATTTTCCCTAACAATAAAAGAGGCCTTTAAATTATATTTAATTTTGAACCGAGAGAAAGACGTTATGTGTCCATTGTAAAAAAAATGCTACCTTGAGTTGTCATTTTAATGCCAAAAGTAAGGGAAAAGAACTTTGACCCATAGCCTTGTTTTTTCTCTGTTTCACTGTAACGGAGAACTGAAGAGTCTGAAATGTAAAGATGTAAATGCACGTTCCAGTGATTTAAAAGGACTCTACTTACTGCACTGCGTGGGAACAAATCAATTTTATGTTGGTGTCATTTTATCATGAAGCATATAAAGGAGTGTGAGTACCTTACCAGTTTTCTACCCAATAAAGTAAAATAATGCAACAACAAAATCAAAGCAAAGTACAAAACAAAACAAGAGATCTGTTCTGGAGACGGCTCTCCTCCCCGCCCTCCTCCCCGCGCATTACTTACTACCTGTGTTTCAGTAACTTGATGAAACTTACTGCAGTGGCTTCAAGATTAAGCTAGTGGTGGCTTCACCAGTAGGTGGAGCCCTCATCCATTTCCCGTGCTCTCCATCAGAAGGAATGAGGGTGAGTGACATGACGGGAGGTACAATGGACAGAGCTTTCCAGAGTATACCACATGCAATTGACCTCAGCTTTTGGGAGCACTATAGCACCATTCTGCAAGACAAACCGTGGTGGTTATGAATTGTCAGGTTGTTAAACAAATGTTTAGCCCTTTGAGCAACGAAACATCAGCAGATGAGTTAATGAGAAAAGAAGCAAGGATTTCTGTAAAGCAAAAATATGATTCTTCACGTAGATCCACAAATTCCCTTTTGTTTGCAAATTCCAGAGTTCTGTTCTGGGGCCATGGGTTCCTCTGGCTTATCGCCTTCTGTGTTCACATCAGCATTAGTGTTTTTTATTCCTTTTTTTGTTTCTTGTATGTAACGAGTCTCCAAACTGTTACCATTCTCCTCTCTTAGGTGTTGGCTTATGTGCAAAGAGAAACAGACTGTGAGTGAACATTAGCTCCAACTCTCAATCGTGAGAGAGGTAGAATGGACATTAAAGACCATAGAAACCTCAGTCAGTATCAAAAAGTTCTCTTTTGTAAAAAAAGTTTCAAAATAAACAGAAGAAGAGCAACGCGGGTTGTAATCCCTCGTAGTTCCTTTCTCAAATCTCAACCCTCTGTGTAAATGGAAGACATCTGACTAGGGCAACGATCAACTGCGTTAATCTGGAGGAAACCACTGTCTTCAGGACAATTCCGCACCGAGTCGCCAAAAATCCCAGGGGTAGTTGATTGAAAGTCATAAGCTGCAAATTGTTTTTTGTAGAAAAAGGATAATTTTAGAACATGAACATAACACAAGGAGAGACTTGCTGCATACTCCAGATGTTTTTCACTGGTAGTCGTGCTACTACATCAAACAATCACTTCAAAACATCAAAGTGTCCAAAATACAAAGTACATTTTTCAAAGATGCTTGGACTTGGTATGGCGGTTTTCATGTCCAGATGACATCTCAAGGCACGTTACTGTAAAGTGCAGTGACTGTGCATTTTGTAAGCAAGTGTGGCAGCCAATTTGCACACTGCAATATCCCACACGCAGCTCTGAAGTGAATGACCAATTTTTTCATCTGGGGGATTATTCGCCAGCACACCGGGAGAAACTCTCTTTTGTTTCTTAATATTTCGCCTTTCATGCCCCAAAATGCTTCACAGGATATGCTACAGAGAGTTGCGACTGTGTGTTTTGTGGGCGAAAGCGGCAGCCAAGCTGTACACAGCAGTGTCCCACAAATAACCATAAAATGAATGACCAATTTATTGGGGGATTGTTGGCCAGCGCACTGGGAGAAACTCCCTTCTCTTTTTGAGAAGTGCCAAGGGACGTCTTAGCATCCACTTGAACAAACAGATGGGAATTCGGTTTAACATTTCATCCGAAGGACAGATATCTTTGCACATGGTAAATAATTCCTGTGATGAATATTACAGAGTGGGAACCCTGAAAAGGATCTGGGCTCTGAACCAAGGGTGTTCATCTGAAGTTAGGGCCGAGCTATAATTAATTGTTAGTGTCTTATGTGGGCTTGCTTCAATACTGACACAGTGTCTCCAAAGTGGTGAAGCTTTCTGATCTCAGCACTAACCATCCCCCTACTCTAATGATCATTGTCAAACATTGAAAAAGAATCAACCTCTTGGGCAGGCAGACACACAATGACCAGTGGAATGAAGTCTCACAAAACATATAAGGCATGGAATTCCACCTCGCTTCAGCTTGAGAGATCATTTTGTTTTAAAATGTAAGATTTGATGTTAAAATTTATGATGGAGCAGAATTGTGGAAAAAAATCACAAATTCAGGCTTAATTTGGAAGGTGGTTTATTGTTAAGAACTGCGGAAAATCTGATTTACAAATTCACACTGAATTTTGGGATCTTCCATAGTTCTGCGCCATCTTAAGGCACAATGGTTCCCCAGGCTGAAACGGGGTGGAATTTCAGGCCTGACCTCTGCTGCCATCTATTTGCATATTCAGATGGTTTATATATGAAATTGTCTGGTAGCAGATTGTGCCTGCTTGTAAAAACTTGAACCATCAAATGATTTCCTGCACGTTTGCTGCTCAAAATACAAAAATCCTCCAGGATATTGTTATAGTGTTCCCACAGCGCCTTATAAAATACTGAGCTTTTTTTGTAACCCACCTCAAAAGGATTATATAAAATAATGATTTTTTCTTTTTTTTTAAACAGACATTTATTCTGTTTACTGGGACCCTGTAGCAAGGTGTATAATGTATGCTTCGTTTCTCCTAGGAGTCAGGGCATACAGTCCATATTGGTTAGTAAATATTCCGAATTACTGCATGTTCTCGTTCATCTTTTTACACTTCCTTTTATAATTTGCCTTAAAAAAGTTTTAAACTTACTTTCGAAAAGTCTTCGCACTACCCTTATCTCCAGCTAGGCATACACGTCCAACACACTCCCAACCCTCCCTCCATTGCTCTGTCCTCTCTCCCCTCTATCTATCTTTAAATCCTATCTAACCTCTTTGATTGTGGCTACCATCACCTTCCCCTTCTCTCTTGTTTGGCCTCCGACCCCGTCTCTCTGAAGAGCTCTGAGATTCTAAGTTATTGATTGTTTCAACTTTTTGTGCAAGATGTGGTTTGAATGCCGCCCGCACAGTATGGGTACTTTCCTAGCCAGGGCCATGTATTCAGAGACTGGCTCCTCATATAATAATAATCTTTGCATTTTATATAGTGCCTTATCATATCTTCAAGACGTCTCAAAGCGCTACACAGAATATACTGTATATGCTATATAATAATAACAATTATAATCCTTACATTTGATATAGCGCCTATATAGGGGGAAAGGGCAGGAAGGACAATGAAGTACCTTGTGCTGCTCCTGCAAGCAAACTCAAAAGCTGATAATTTACTGATCTCTTTGGTTCTGGACTGATCCATGGTGTGGTTAAAAGGAGCAAAAAAAAAATGAAGACCGTCTTAAGGAATTTCATGTAGAGGGTGAGAAGGTTTAGGGACGGGTGTCGCGGGAGGTGACCAAAGTTATGGTTGAATGGTTAAGTATTTCGAAGGGTTTTGAAAACAAAAAGGGACAAATCTTTTACATTTCCTTTTTTGAATTTGCCTTGTGCTTAGAATAAGGAGAAATAAAAAAAAGCAATGTTCCCAATTCCCTTGTCATTCACTCTTATTAAATAGCACTTTTTTGTTTGTCATTTATTTCATTTACTTTCCCTTCTCCCTCTTTAAGTTTTCCCATAATATCCGTCCCCAAAGCAGTGGACTCCACCAATGCAACATTACAATCAAGAACAACCACAACTTGCATTTATATAGCTTCCCTCGCACAGGGCAGAGCCTCGGAATGCTGAAATCACCCACTAGGAGTGATCGAGAGCAGCACAGGAGTGACTTGGAGATAACCTTCGTTCCAATGGCCAAAAGCTTGGTGTTTGCTCAGTGGCTGCCCATGACTCAAGTGGGGAATGCAGAATGCTTCTGCCCTCTGACACCACACTGTGTGATATCAGCATTCCCAGGCTGAACGCCATGAACAATGACGTTTCAATCCACAGTTGTCTCCAAGCGTGAACAAGCCTGATTCGTACCAATTGCATTGTCAGTCACCTTTGGCAAGGTAACAAGTTGTTACAAAAAGATGCCATACACATTGAATCAAGTACGATTGGCTGGGCATGTGTTTTGCGGCTGTAACACAATTGAAAGGATATGATAATATGAGAGTGTATGAGAATTTTGCCACGGGAGGTTGTGCAAACGGTCAGAACTCTAACATTCTGTTACAGTTTAAAACACTTCCAGACATGTCATTTTATATAATATATACAATTTTCCACTGCTGAGTTGTGCCGTATGGTTCCTATCATTAAAAGCAGAGGGTTCTCCTTGTCATGACAACCGAGGAAATTTCATCTTTGGCTTTTTTTCTCTCGAGTTTTAAGGTGCCTGTGGCATCATTGCATGGCATGCCTGAGCCTAGAGACTTTGGGGGAGCAAGTGCCACACTGAGTTGCCAACAGGTGCGCTGCCTTATGTGGGGCTTCTCCCTGTGTGCTGGTCAACAATCCTCCTCATAAAATTAACCATTCACTTCACGGCTGTTTGTGGGGCATTGCCGCGCGAAAATTGGCTGTCGCGTTCATCTAGGAGTACGTAGACACTACAAGTTACAGAAAACTCTGTGATGTGCTTTGAGACGTTTCAACTAAATCAAACGCAAGGATTATTATAATATGGGGTAACTTCCTGGCCTGTACCTAGCACCTTCTTCTGATGTCCTGTCAATAATGTTACAGGCAAGAACCCATACCCTTCACAGTACCAGTAACCAACATGTGTACAACAGTGCACTGATGTGGTGTAGGGAGAATATCCAAGAGATCGGTCTTAAAGGGAACTAACTGTCTAGTTTCATGTGCGGAGGAGTAATCAATTGGTCAAGGTAGCAAGTGAGCACATAGGGAAGCAATCTCCTGTGAATACAGACCTGAGACAACGTAGTCTGGAGAAAAGGGGAAAAATGGAGCAGCCCTATTTCAGGACTTTAAACTCAGTCTAACCTGACCCTTCACTGCAATGTTGGCGGAACACTGCATTGTCGGAGGTGGTGTCCTTCAAATGGGATGTTAAATTAAGGTCCTCTCTTCTTGTTCAGGTGGACGTTAAAGATTTCATGGCACTATTTGGAATGAGAGGGAAGTTTCTCCCGGTGTTCTGGCCAACAATCCCTCAGATAAAATTAGTCACTCACTTCATGGCTGTTTCTGCGACATTGCTGTGTGCAAATTGGCTGCCATGTTCGCCTACTAATACACATTGAATGCACTTTACAGTATATCCTGTGAAGTGCTTTGAGACGTCTTGTCGATGTATTAAGGTGCTGTATCAAACTGCAAGGATTATTATAGATTTTTTTTTAAAAAGTGGAAGAAGCTAGGAGTGTGTTACAGCCTTACGTACTACATGCTTACTTGATCTTAAATTTGGTGTATTTAATATTTGTTTAATTGAAAGAAAGTTACTCTACGTGGCAGGGTTTTGTTTGAAACTAAATTCAAAGTGGTACCTTTTTCTACGAAATGAAGTTACCTTTTCCCCTGCTCTTTTGTTAATTAAACAAAATGTGTATCTGATGCTAGTTATTTGATGATAACTAAATGCTATAAAGTACTGCTGGCTTATGATCAGCACCAAGTCTCAAATCCTGTCATGCTACGGTTGAATCCTGATAAATATGTAACTATTTGCCAATAAATATTCTGCTTGAATCAGCATTATGTTTTGGATCAAGATTTTCTTTAAAATTCATGCACAAAATATCCAGTTGGCAAATCTTTTTACCGTAGCTGATTTAATTATATATTCATCAAATTCAACTCAAACTCCCAGGGAAGCCATGACAATGCTGCAATTTGCACAGAATAGATTAAATTTTTTAAATGGTTTGGTGGTTTCAGATGAAGTATTGGTACTGAACATGAAAGAGTGGACGCTGTAAAACACATTCAGTCTGTTGCCTGCAATTTTTTTGCAGGGGGGTGCGGGTGGTGCACTGCAGTATCAGAAGTACTATCCTTTGCATTAGGTGCTAAACTGAGATCCCATCTATCTGTTCAGATGGATGTTAAAGATGCCATGGCACTACTCGATAAGAGAAAGGAGTTTCTCCCATTGTCAACAATTCCCCCAAATAAAATTGTTAACTCCACTCCATAGCTGTTTGTGGGAGATTGCTGTATGCAAATTAGCAGCTGTGTTCTCTTACAAAATACACAGTCACTACACTTTACAGTATATCCTGTAAAGCACTTTGGGCCGTCTCTCCGATGTGGAAAGCGCTCTGTAAGGATTATTATTATTTAAAGTTTAAAGATGTGCAGACATAGGAAAGACCGGCAACAAAAAGATAAAATGGGAAACTTTTTTTCAAATTAAGAAAAAGTTAAATGAAAGAAGCCAGAAGTGTGTTATAGACCTCAATAACCTTTATTAATTTGCACCAATGAAAATCATTAAAAGGCTAAAGACTGTTGAACAGCTTGAGTTTATATATTACCATTTTATGATGTGCTGAGAATCACCACTTGCTTATGTTACAGTCTTGTAGCACACTCCTAACCACCTTGTGTTCTCCCGCTAATGGGTTTGCCAGATTGGCTTTTCTGTCTGCTTTTTGTTAAGCTAAAACTACTGAGTACCATTGACATAACAGCCTATTTTTTTGCAACTGTTGAAATATACTTTGATGATTTGCCCTCCCCTCCTCAGACTCTTTCCCTCTCCTCATCCCCCGATCAAGAAGGCAGGCAGGCAGGCAGGGAAAGAGCGAGAGCATCTCACTTGCGTTTGAGTAAGAATGAACACAGCAGCAGATCTTTACCTGGAAAACTGGGATGAGCAGACAATGCCCTGTGGAAAGCATCGAATCCAGCTTGTCCCACAGTTGTGGGACATAAACAGTCCTCAAACGGAGGCATCATATTACGAGGGCTAGCTTGGCGCATACTTCGAGACGACTCACTGTAGTGGGGCGGGTAGAAAGTCTGCAACTGGCCATAATAACCTGCCAAGGGAAGTCAAAAAATACAGTAGTTAGATGGTAAAATGTTAATACTATCTTAAATGTCGATTGTACTCTTTTATTAGTGAGGTCTATTCTGGCAATAAGTGCCAATATTTGAATGAACCAGCCAGCAAACCAAACCACAAGGATTGAATGCTGCGTTGCTCCTTGGATCACAAGGTGATCCCAAGGGATTCAGTGTCACTACCATTAAAAACGGATGACAAAAAAATAGAATCCTTGCAGTTAAAAGTTTGGGTCCAAATTTAAGGCGAAATTAAGAATTTACCAAACGGTACATTTATGCACTAAGACTAGGTGGCATTTCAGACTTGTTAGATACATTCAAGTAAAATGTGGTCTAACTGAGCCAAATTACCAAGTCTTTTTCCTGCAATCTAGTCTGCAATATTAACAGTACTAATAATCCTTGCATTTGATATAGCGCCTTATCACGTTGTTGAGACATCTGAAAGTGCTTCGCAGAATATATTGTAAAGTGAATAAATGACTGTGCATTTTGTGGGTGGAATGCGGTAGCCAATTGCACACAGCAGTGTCCCACAAACACTCGTGGATTGAGTGACCACATTTAAAAACATTTTTTTTGTAGGGATTATTACCCCCAGAAAATGATCCGCCAATCGACTGATAACCAAATTCCTCCTTACTGCTAGGTAAACAGAGGTGGTGGAGTGAGGAAGCTTGCCTAAGGTTTTGCCCCGCCTGGGAATCGAATCCGGGTCTTTTAGTATGCGAGGCGAAAGAGTGCACTAACCATTACATGACAGCACTCCATAGCTGATCAGCCATCAGCTGAGCTTAGAAAGTGTTCTTCATCATGTATAAAATGACGTTTGTTCCTCTGTGCATATGTATTTTATTAGTTTTTTTAAAAAAGGCATCTGAGGCCCCAAATTCCACTTAGTTTTAGTCTGTAAGACTATTTCAACCTTCAAATTGAAGATTGCTCAGAATTTGTGGAAAATTCTTAAACTCAGTCCAATTAAGACTGAATTTAAGAATTATCCACAATTTGGAGCAATCATAAATTTTAGAGCCAAATGTTTAAGAATATCAGACTTCTCAACTGCAATCAACAACAACTTGCATTTATTAACTCTTCACATGGGGAAGTCATGAAACTATTATTGGAGGGCTTATTCAAACAAAATGTGGTCTAAACCGATCCAACGTTGGACTACATTAGTTTTCCAGTCTCACTTGATGCCATGATAAAACACACAACACAGAAGAATTTTTGAAGTCCATTTATTTTACCGCAGTACAAGGAGTAGTTAAAAGTCAACATATTGACAATGCTTCCTGCATTCGCTGTTTATATAAATGTTTGAATGGAAAAAAAAGAGCTGACAATGTCTTGAGCCAAGACATCTTTGCACATTACCCAAAGGCAGCTGTTCTCAATGTGCAGCACAAAATTACAGTCAAATAAATGCTACACTTGCTGGAGGTGGACAGCTTTGTGAAAGGTTACAGCTGAGTACTGTTACAAGAGAAAACCGCTTCCATCGAAGTCAAGCCAGCTGGCAAAGCCTATCGCAACGCATACTGAACACATCTTTCACACTGCCCTGCACTCATTCTGCATGTTTGCACCCTTCTACAACTTCCTATTCACAATTCAGTGAATCTGGTAATATTATCTGCCGCAGCCAATTGTAGCCTGGTAACAAGAAACCTAATAATGTGGAAAAAGGGTTACCTTGTTCCACTTTGTGTCCAGTGCGAGAGAAAGAATGCAGAGCGCTTCAATTATTTTTACAATAGCTATTTCCATTTTGTCTCGAACAGATGAAATGCCTCTCTGTCCCTATTCTTCTGTTGTAAAAGCTGCTTTTGTTCTGCTTTTATTATTTGGTTCCACTGCAGTCCGGGGCTTTAGCAAAGCGCAAAGTACATTTTTTTTTGCCATTTTGTCCCCTTACGGATTAATTGGTGACGCAGGATGGAAAGCGGAGGTGCATAACATCAGCCACATTGCAGAAAAGCTCACTCAGTTTTAGGCTATTTAGCATTGCATCAACAGCTTTTATTTACATTTATACAACTGCGGTTGTTTGTGCTGTGTTTTATATCTATATATATATATATCTGTGGTGCTTTTAATTGCTTACTGTTGGAGGAGAACAACCGTGCCTTCAGCTCCCCTCTCGACTCTCTACCCCCTCCTCGCTCCCTCCCTTCCCTCCCCTCACCATTTCCCCCCTGCTCGGGTCCCGACCCAACTGTCCAGCGCCTTGGGATGTCCTCCCGACATGAAAGGCGCTCTATAAATCAATCTTGTTGTTGTTGTTGAGAAGGGAACTCCTTGATAACATTACGAAAATGATCCCTTTAAAAGTTCTTAAGCAGTAAACTGGACAACACCGAAACGTGTAAGGGGCTATTTCTGGGCGAAGTCGGGATCAATTTGCATCCGCTGGGTTTATACTGTGGCAATTCCAATCACCGTGCTGCTCCTCACACCTCCTTGAGGTGCTCTCAGCAGCTGATCGCATGGTTTGACCCTGATTTCTGCTGGGCTCCTTGCAATGTTTTGCACACTGGACAAGGCTTTGTAAACATGGCCTGAAAACCGTGACGGCCCGAGAGAATGAGATACACTCAGCAGATACACTGGTAGCCTCTCGCCACATCCGTGCACGTTTATCTTGCTAAACCATCTCGACAAATAATAATCCTTACGCTTGGTACAGCGGCTTTCACATCAGGAGGATCTCCTAAAGCGCTTCACAGCATATACTGTAAAGTGTAGTGATTGAGTACTTTGTGGGCGATGTTAAAAATCCCATGGCACTATTCAAAAAGAGAAGCAAATTTCTCCTGGTGTTTGGCCAACAATCCCCCAAATAAAATTGGTCACTCACTCCATGGCTGTTTGCGGACATTGCTGTCCGTGGACAATGTTGGCCCACAGTCACTCCACAACATATCCTGTGAAGCCTGTGGAATGTCCTCTTGCCATGCTCTGTGTCAAATGCAAGGATTACTACTCTCTACCAAATTCCTTTCACTCTGTGCCTCGTTTTGTGCCTTCAAAATCATTCTCTTTGACTGAGCCTTCGGTCAATACATCCTTAAGCCTCCTGCCATCCTTACCACTTACCACCTTGCTCAACGATCTGCATCATCTGTAAAGCACTTTTGAGGCCTATATCCTACATAAAAAACATTGTATAAGTGCAAGTTGCTATCACAAACAAAGGGGATAGAAATTCCACCTGGATCTAGATGTTCCCTCCAAAATAAAATGTGGTCATTCAATCCACAACTGTTTGTGGGATACTGCTGTGTCCAATTTGCTTCCACATTTCGCCAAAAAAATATACAGGCAATCCACTTTACAATATATTCAATTCAATTGAATATTCAATTCAATGGCTATTCAATAGCCATACATATTCAAGACTGAGATCGATAGTTTTTTTTAAAAACTGAAGGGATTAAGGGATATGGGGATAGGGCGGGTAAATGGAATTAGGTTAGAAGATCAGCCATGATCTCATTAAATGGCATGGCAGGCTCGAGGGGCCGAATGGCCTACTCCTGCTCATATTTCTTATGTTCTTATATTCTGTGAAGCTCTTTGAGATGTCTCAACGATATGATAATAATAATAGTACTTGCATTCGATATAACGCCTTATCACATCTTTGAACCATCTCAAGGTGCTTCACAGAATATACTGTAAAGTTAATTGACTGTCTATTTTGTGAGCGAAGCGCGGCAGCCAATTGTCTCACAAACAAACAGTCATGGATTGAGTAACCAATTTATTTATTTTTTTTGGAAGAAATGATTCCCCCCAGAAAACTGATCCGCCAATCGACTAACAACCGGGTTTACTTACCACTAGCAGTAAGCAGAGGCGTGTGGAGGAAGGAAAGTTGCCCAACATTTCGCCCTGCTGAGAATCGAACATAGGTCTCTCGCTTACGAGGCAAGTCCTCAAACTATTGAACTATAGGACTTCATGGACTAACAGAGGAAGAGAGAGGATGATGGTGATGGGTCATCATAGGGCTGAAATTCCTGTTGGTGTTATGTGTACAGACACCCATGAACAAGAGGGAGAAATTTCACCCAGGTCTAGATTTACTCTGTTTGCGGAGTGTTTCGGAGTGTGTTAACATTTAGCATGTTATTCATACACTCTTAACTTTGAGATTGGTTTTCCCAGGCGGAATCAAATGAGTAACAAATGCAAGGAATATTATTATTATATTATTATTACTCTCTTAGGATTTCAGTGCAACCAGAATTTGACAAATTTTTAGATCAAATATTAGTTTTGTAGCCATTTTTTATCAGACCTACAGGCAAGTTCTTTGTAGAGCCTCGGAAAACCAATCTCAATATTAAAAGTGAAATTGAATAATATGCTAAATTTTAGCACCTTCTGAGATATTCCGTAAATAGAGTAAATCTAGCTGGTTAAGCTCAAGCAGTTACTCCAATGACACTGGGGTCCCCAAGCCTGGGATTCTGCAAGTAGTATGCATCCATCCAGGGAGGGAAGTGAGCATTCCATTCCAGACACAGGTACATTTTCATGTGAAGGTGGCATACATGTGTGGGACTCAATCTGGTTTGGATACTCTTAAACAAGGTGATGAGTTTCTGCATTTGTCAAGACACCCGGCTGACTAAAAAGAAATTCTATCATTTAATTTTTCAAAGAGGATGAATCTGCAGTTCCCTACTCCAGAAACAGATACTTGAATCTGCATTGAAAGATAATGCCTCTTATTTGAGGTAACATTTAGCTCATATTCAATTCTTCAAACTACAGGAATGTTAATAATGTGGAGAGGGTTTCCCATATGTCAAATGCTATATAACAGCAATAACTTTGGGTTACTTATTTATAATGGGATTCTTTATCAGAAACAAGTCACATTTAAGTTGTTATTGTTAATAAGCAACATATGAAAGAACCCATACTGCATACATTTTACCGACTGCTCAAATCTACT